TACTGGACTTTTTCTCATTAGAATACCTATTAAGTTTGATATTTTTATCTGTTTTTTGTTGAAGAATTACCCAGGGCAATTTTAGTTTTATTCAAAAGAACTGTAATTCCTTTGGGATGGTTGTTAGTTGTCACAGGTTTGATTCTCTGGGAAGTAGACTCTGAGACAGAGATTAGTGTCCAGAAAGTACAGAGAATGTAGTTGGGATCAGTACCCATTAGGTTAGGATGACAAAGAGGCCCAGCTACTGGGGCCTAACAAAATAAAAGACTTCTCTTTTTCATGTAACAAAGAATCTAGAGATAGGCAGTTCAAAGGAACCAAAATTTCTTATTTCCTGATGTAAAATTCTTAGTATGTGACTTTTCCCTTAACTTTCACACTATGGCTACTCAACCTCCAGTCCCTCTCCATGAGGAAGGGTAAAAGGTAAAATGTAGATGCGAGCCAACTTGTCAACTTCCTAATCAGGAAAGTAATCACTTTTCTAGAAGCACCATGTAGGAAACTTTTGTTTCCGTCGTCGTATTGACCAGAACTTGGATTTTGTGGCCACCCTCAGTTGCATGGAGTTCAGGGGTTAAGTTTGTTTAACTGAGCATGTTAGCGAAAGCTCAGCATTTGTCGAACTCGAGACCACATCATAAGAACAAGAACAAGTAGTTTGAGGAGAAGGAACTAGAAGTTTATTACTTTGCTGGCAAAGGAGGAAAAATGGTAGAAATTCTAGCCTCAAAATCCAAATTTCCTGAACATAAGCAAAAATACAGAGCTTTTAAAGGGAGTGCCCCACTGTTCTAGGCTATTATGGTTAACTATTCTAATTGTCCCATCTTGGCCAAAGACAAAGCCCCACCTGGGCCCACCTGGGGGGGCGGGTGCTGGCCTGGAATGGCTGAGTTATCTCTTATAACAGAAGACTTAACCTGCCTCAGAATTCAGGTCAGGCAGTTCCCAAAAAGAGTGAGGGAAGTTTTAAAGAGACAGAAAATATTTTTGCCGTTTTTTCAGGCCATTCCCTCTGTTACAAGCACATTGCTGCTCAGGGCACAATTAGATCTCTGTTAAAAGGGAGGAAGAGGAGATTGGTAGCTAG